CCTTGGGATCCCTCGTACAGGAGTCAGAAGGCTTCACACGCTTCTGACAAAGACCTCACACTTCACGGCAGAAAATAGGAGCTCGGGTGAGGGCAATCATTGAGGCGTTTTTCTTTGGATGATAAGGAGGTCAAACCTGGGTCTTTGGATGGTTTGGGTTTTCGGTCTGTTGGATGGTCCGAGCTTCGGGCAGAATGGCAAGTTCGGTGCATGGTGTCCTTTCGTGTCAAGGTTCATCTTAGGAAGACTTTGCCTTTGAAGTTGAGTCCCGATGACATGGTCAATTTCTCAGCCTAACCTTGGGCAGATCTGGAGATTGGATGACATTTGCTTTTGGAAGACATTGGAGATGACGCTTTGAAAGAGATTTCAAGGAGGGATTGCATCGCTGAGCATTGAAACTCGGGCTGGGACGGGACGCAAGAAAGAGTTCTCAAAAAACGGTTGAACCATGTTGATTTGGCTGGACAGATGTTTTGCAGGTGTTTCCTCATTTTTCCTCCATACATCAGGATAGTTTTGGGGCAACTTTTGACCAACGTCCATTGGAACATTATGTTAATATAATTAAGCTTAATTAGTTATAATTAGTTGAAGCAGCAAGGTGTTGCTTCGCTCAATGTATAACAACAAGCCTTCAACATCCATGATCAACTACAATTCCAGCCCCACTCTTCCAAACGTCCCTCACCTTCCGGTCCGCGCCCCCCCCCCCCTGGTCCTTCCGACCCTTTGGCGGTCGCGTCGGCCGAGGTCGTGAACATCTCCAACGTGGACTACGAACGGCTCCAGGCCACTGAGGAGCTGGACACCTCCATCACCGCCATCGCCCCTCGTGGTGAAAGACCACACGAGAAACGAGCGGAAACGCGCCCATGGTTCGAAGGAGCCTGGTGGACCATGCCCAGTTGATTCTGTTCCATGTTCGCAAAAAATACTACACAACTACGTAACTAGGGTTTTTTCCCAGGTTAGTGGACCCGGGAAAGAAGACATGACAACAACACACCCAGCAAATAGAACCAAAACATATCGTAAAACAACATCTGCATACCATGGCCACTATTCACTCCTGGTACACCAAGAGTTTCCATGTTCTGACCAACGGGGAAAAGACACGCGTTATGGTCGTTTTACCCACTATGTCACATGGTTCGTGGGAACCACAACAAAATCACTAGGACCACTATGGGTGCCACAATCCAGTCTGGCAGCCGTTTGGGAGTTTGGGTATTTGATGCCTTCCCCGTTGATGCCTTCACCATGGCACTCTCAGATGTAAGCCCAACATCTGCGGGATGCTGAGTGTTTAGTTTGATTGCAATTGTTTGACCCATATCCGTCAATTACTCAATTACCGTCATGTCTTTTGTTGTGCTTGGAAATTTCAATCTTTCTGATCCAGCGTTTCATCGCGTTTCATGCAATGCAGATTGGTTTACACGTGGCCTTTCCAGACACCTCTTTCTTCGCACAAACACGCCGAAAACACGCCAGCGCCTCACCTCAGCCGCAGCACCAAGGATGCCGTGATCCCCTAGGAGGCTATGTGGGGGCGGAACACGGTCACATCTGAAAGCAAGATGTACCTCTGGTAAAGGAATACTATAGAATGACCTACCTTTGGGGGGGGCCTCGTTTTTGAGAAGTTGAGAATGTTATTGTGGCTTGAGACTAGATGGATGCAACGGCACAAAATCCCCATATGTCGCTGCATCTACTCTGGCTGACCCGGCTGATGCTGTCAGCTGAGTCCCACCGAGCTTCCCCAACAATCTCCGAGTATCATACCCTAGGGATCCCTCCAAGTATACATAAAAGAGAGTCCAATCACCTTCTCAGAGAGTATGTGGATCCATAGGAATAGGTTAATCATGGTTCAGCTTGGATCCACCTAGTCGGGGACCCTCGGCATCGATCGCCTTCGCCTGCGCGTTGCGAACTCGGTCACATTGGACCTTGTCACATCGGCTCCACATTGGGTTCGATGGGAAAACCCATTGAACTGAGCTCACGGGCTCAACCTGGGTTTGGCGTTCAGGTCAATGGTCAACCTGGGTTTGGCGTTCAGGTCTGTCCCACATTTTGAGACAAGTGCCATCCACTCCCCCGGCATCGGGCATGTCACATGTCCACAGGCGTCCATGTTGGAGGTTCACCCGGCCGAAATGGCCGGCGGTGAAGTGAACAGATCAGTCTTTGATCCCATCGCCAACCACCAAGGTGGCTAATTACTGGCAAAACTGTTGTGTTGACGATATGTATATTGATTTTATTGTAGTATATTGTAGTCCTCTTTCAGCCAGGCATGCGTGGGCGAGCATCGGCATGATGCCACTGCGCAGCCTTCGTGAGGGCTGGCGCGGTTTGCTTCAAACACGGATCAGTTAGCGACGAGTTAGCGTATGTTCGCGCTACTAATTATCGCGAGGTCTATTTCGACGAACCATGTTGGGTTCAGAGGTGTGCTTTTGACAGCGTTTGGTTTTATGCAGTTTCAAAGCCTCTTTTTTGGGTTATGTGCATTTTTGTTGATGTCATTTTTGTATCGCAGGAAATGCATTGCAAGAAAGGCACAGGATATTTCAGAAGATCAAGAATATGTTTAAGCATTCAATAAACAACATACAATTTGCAAAGAATCTGCAGACCAAGCGCCGGTCGTGTGGACTTACAACTAAGTCCTCGTAAAGTTGCATGGTCGAAGAACATATTGGAATAGAATAACTCTTGCATAGCTTGGAAAATTTAGCATAGTTCAGCATAAGTTCCGCATAAGTTTAGCATGCGTATGCAAGTTATGCTGAGCCTGCAGAAAGTTTAGCATATATGCTGAACTTGCTAAACTAAGATAAGAACGAGTTCAGCATATTATGCAGAACTCAGGAAACATATGCTGAACTACTTGCATACACTTTGGGAACTTATGCTGAACTTATGTATCCTTCGTTTTTTGGTATAAAGGTAGATGAAGTTGGTATGTGGCGTAGTTTGCTTGTGAGGTGACACAACTGCTAGAGTTCTAGAGTAAGTCACGCTCATATTGGGACAGAGTCACATTTTGCTGGAGATCCAGAAGCCAACTTAAGCCAACGTAAACTCGTGACTTCTCGCAGAAAAAAAAGAGTCCCCGCGTCGCCGGTACAACTATTTTTTCATATAAACTCAGCACCGCGCATTGCGGACCATCGATTTTCAGGTATCTTCACTTTATGCGTTGGAAAAGCTCTTGCGCAAACACGCTGCCCAAACCGTAAACTCAAATAGGGCTCGTGATAATCAATAGTTCGCGCTTTATGACCTGTACAGAAACGCAAGTTTGGATGGTAAGCTGAGCTTGATGGTAAGAGCTTGTTCATTCTTGTCATTCCTTCGGGTCATTGGACCCGAGTGTTCGTTCAACCGTCATCTCTTCGCGAAGAGACATCCTGGCTTTACATCCAAAGCATAGCGTTCTCCGGCTGAAGCGGAGAAACTGCGATCTTCGGCTGTTGTGAAGAGCTCGGTTCGGCTGAAGTGTCCGCGATGCGAATTCATCGATGGAGGCACTGAGAGGCACCTGGCCATCTAGCGCCCGCACAAAAGGTTGTTGCCGGCGAACGACGGGTCTTCTCAAGTGCACAGTGCAGCCTCCACTTTCGTTGCCCAGCTGCTAATGTGTACAGTTTCGAATGGGCGAAAGAATTCGGGGCCTCATGGTCAGCCCATGCTGGTCCGCCCGTGGATCGAGTGGATTCACTCTCTTTTTTTCCCAATTCATCTTTTGGCTGATCTGTGCCGATCACAATTTGCACATCTGAAAGAGACTCGGAGCATCGACTTGCGTCGACGCCGCGCCGGGCTTGTTTGGAGCATTCGAAAAGGGCTGCGCAACAAAAGGGCTGCGCTGCGACTTGGCTCGTTAGAATGATTGAATCAGCCACCTCACAGGTCACCAGGCTGGAGTCTTTGTGAAATGACTGGACGCAGAACTGTTCAGCTGAAAGATCCTGCAAAGGAATTGAGTCATTTACAAGCAGTCAGGCTGTGAGTACTTGCTTGTTGATAGCTTAAGCATCGCAAAAAGCCTTGGTCCTTCCCTGAGCGCTCTCTCCCCCTCCGAAACAACATGACAGGAGGCCCCACCGGCGGATGGCAGCCGACGGATGACCCAGAGGCTGTTCAGCACCAGAAGACGGGATGGATCAAATTCTGGAGCCGCAAGACCATACAATTGATCTGCCAGGTAGTCGCAATTTGTTCATTTGGGATGGACAATTGGACAGTATCCTGGGGTCAAAACCCACAGCCTCATCACTGTACTGTACTGCTCAATTTGCGCTTGCTGATGCGGCATGTGAGTGCGGGATGGAATGACTCCAGATTCAGAGAACTTGCGACAAAACCTGCATCCTTTGTGGGTCCCCAGTTCAAGCTCCAAGGAACCCTCTAAATTCATGCCCAGCATGTCCTTGTGCGGTTTAGCCATTCGGTCCGCCTTGGTCCATCACTGCCCAAACGGCCCGTTTTTCTCCGCTTGACCCTGTCGACACAGTCGAGCCATAGCCAGCTCTCTCCATATTTCATGCCGGCGTGACCAAGGTCAGCAGAATGCTTCTAATGTTGTTTCTAGTAGCAAACAATGCTCCTAGTACGGCCAGGAGGCCTAGTAGCGTCCTTGCTCCTAGTAGCGATGCCAGGAGCCCCTAGTAGCTTCTTGTTACTAAATACACAGAACTTCAGAGCCAGGAAAGCTAAGAAGTCAAAAGAAGTTCCAATGAAGGGACCACAAATCCAAACACGTGTCCTCCATTTAGTGTGGGGATAGGAAACAATCCACGAATACAGGCTACTTGGGCAAGCACTGACCATCTATGAGGTATTCAGAAATGTCAGGCAACCAGCAGACCGGCAGATTCCTGACCCAAATAGGTCGCCAGAATGCGTAATTAAATTAAGGCATATCATATGCACCCTCCCCTAAAAAGTAAGGCTCTCATGAAGATCATGTCTTCGAACAAGGGGATGACCTGTGAGAAGCGTCCTTGATGGACCAACGATGAATCCGGTCATCACAGTCAACGTGGCATTGCTGAGCGGTGAAAGTGAAATACTGTCAGTGCCACTGTCCTCCAGGACCTTCGATTGGCACTTAACCAGACTCTTTTAGTCTATTTATTTACTCTGATGTGGACCTCTAGTTGTCTACTTTCAGGGATAACTTTGATATCATTGAAACGAATGACAGATCGATGTTGAGGTTCTAGAATGATCAGATCTTGCAGTACCCACATCAACTTTCATAGAAGCAGAAAGAAGCTGCCAAAGTACCCACAACTGTTGCTATCCCAAAGTACTGATATCACTGATCAACTCTATAGCCAGCATGGTACCCTACTTGATCCAAAGCCAAGTACTGCTACCGACTCGCAACCGGTTCTTTTGGGTGATACTCGTACTTTGTTCAACCCAGGTTTATGTCCGGAGTCCTCTTCCGTCCTCCACAAGGATTGCGGACTTGAAGCTGGCGGCCCAAAAGATCTTCCAGTGTTGCTTCCTGTGCCTGCTGAGTCCCGCGGGGAACAGTTTACAGTTGGACTGCCTAGTAGAGCATCAACTGCACGAGGGTGATTCTTGGAACGATTCTGCTTTATCGGAGAGAGGGAGCAATTCGATGGGTGAAGATTTATTGAAGAGATTAATCCTTTGATGAGGCCATGAAGAGTATTGGTATAATTTGCTATACTAGCCGTATTGGGGGGTTCGTCCCACTGTGGCAGTAATGCAGTGGATTCGTCAGATGCTCTTTATCTCTTTCCGGGGTCCTTAGAATCCTAGACACCTCGCTAGACCATCTATACTTTGAAGTGTAAGACTGCCGAACAAATTGCATGTTTTGCTTCGGGCCCATTCACCGACTGCTACCCTCCACTGGAAACTCGTAAGGACGGGCGGTGTCAGACCTGATTATCCCCATTGTTCCATCCTTTGATATGTTTTCATCCCTTGTCCCAAAGAAAGTAGCTTGTCCGAGACGAAGCAAGTTGGATGGTCCAAAAGGCATCGACTCCTTGATTTCTTGGGGGAACTATAGTGACTAGACAAGAATATTTCTTGGGTACCGCCCTTGAAATCTCTGAACTCTTAGAGTTCAGCACCAAGGACACCATTACGGCTTTGCGACAAACACCCCAGGTGGTCGCCACGGACCAAGCGTTTGCACTGTGGATCCCTGGTTCTCGATGTGTGACCTGGGGGGAATCCTTATTTTGGAGGCGATTGCAGTAGCTCGTTCTGGCGATAGTTTGGATGATTTTGATATATGTTGTGTGTCTTTATATAGTCCTCCATGCCATCCATGTCAAAGTCACGATATGATAAGGTCTTGTAGGTCTTGTACTTGTAGGCGTGAGGAAAGAGGAATACTTAGTGTAGGCCTAAGCATGTGACATGATGAGGAAATGAGCTGTGTCTTGGGAATAACTCCTCTTCTATCCCAATGCTGTTAGGTGGGTAGATTGCTCAACCACTGAGGTTCCGTGCAAGATCAGCTCTGGAATGTTCAAGAGATGAGTGCTTCACAATCTGCCTTTGCAGCCCTTCTTGGAGATGGACGTGTTCTGACATGGGGAAGTGGGCTAAGTGGCGGCGACAGCAGTGGTGTCCAGAGTCACCTGAGCAATGTGCAGAAGATTCATGCCACAGCTTCTGCCTTCATCGCAACTTTGGGTGATGGAAAAGCTGTGACCTGGGGCATTCCACATGGTCATCACATCCAAGACCTTCTTTTGCATGTGCAGAAGGTTCGTGCCACGATGCAGGGGACCTCTGCGGCGATTCTGGGTGATGGATCAGTGCTTACTTGGGGTTCCCCAGGCCACCCGGATGTCTTTAGTATTTGTTGACGATTCTTTACCCAAGGCCCAGAGAATATCCAGATTTTTGGGAGAACTTCCAGTTCCCAAGCAACCAAGCGACCAGTGAAACTTACAGTGAAACTTGCCTGAACAAAAATAAGATCCGAGGCTATGCGGCCAGCAACGAGATGCGGCGCCAACTTCACCATGTCCAAGAGATTTCGGTCACTGATCATGCGTTTGCAGCCCTGAACGGTGATGGACGCATTGTCACTTGGGGTGTCCCGGAATTTGGTGGAAATAGCAGCAGTGTGCAGGAAGAGCTGCACCATGTGCAGAAGATTGTGGCGACGTCTGGAGCGTTTGCTGTTATTGTTGGTGAAGGAAGAGTTGTTACTTGGGGGAAGGAAGAAGGTGGTGGCAACAGCGAGAAGGTTCAGGATCCCTGATAAGGGGGTCACATTCGACGTTCATTGAAGCGATGCGTTGATCCAAGTATAGTCACATCCGGTGTTTTCAAGCTGCCTCTAAGATTACTGGTTTTGAGACGTTTTGAAACCAACACCTGATTCAGGATCATCTACGAAAGGTGAAGGATATTTATGCAACGAGATCTGCCTTCGCAGCAGTCCTTGAAGATGGTCAAGTGGTGACATGGGGCAACCAGAGGTCGGGTGGTGACAGCAGCGCAGTTCAAGATCGACTGAAAGATGTACAGCAGATATATTCCACCAACACGGCCTTCGCAGCCCTTTTGAGTGATCTAAGCATTGTGACATGGGGAAATCCCCTTGAGGGAGGTGATAGCAGTGACGTACAGCATCAACTTCGAGAGGTTCAGACGATTTCAGCCAACAAATGTGCCTTCGCCGCCCTCCTGAGCGATGAAACCGTCGTGGCTTGGGGAGACAAGACCAATGGTGGTGACAGCAGCAGCGTTCAACACCAGCTGAAGGATGTCAAGCAGATTTCTGCTGCCAGCTATGCTTTCCTGGCCATCGGCAGTGATGGCATTGTTGTGTGGGGCAATCCAGGACGTGGCGGTGACAGCCGCGGGCTTGAAGATCAGCTGCAGTATGTGTAAAAGGACCCAGCAAAAGTGGATTTGGGGATTGGTTTCCCCAGTCAATATGAGCAGTGAAAGGGTTCACCTTTGTGTTCCAGCTAAACTGAGGAAGTCGGAATGTCAAGGGGGATAGGCGGCGCCATGGCGCCAGTATTCGCATGGCTTCGCATGGCTCACCGCAGAGTTTGTCACTGGCCTAGCTAAGCGAGACACAATGTTGTAGACCAGGTAGACCAGTACACAAGCACCTAATGGCAATTTCATGGCCAAATACTTCCTCCACCTGAGATGGATATGGCAAAAGCCCGCTGTCATAGATTTTGGCCTTAAAGGACTCAGACTCAGACATATATCATATATTATATATATTGTTACTTGCCACTGACAAAGAGATGAAGCAAGCACACTCCTATTTACCTATAGGGCGGGGATATGTCTCAAACCAAAGGAATTCCTGCACAAGAAGAACATGCAGTTCTCTTCGCTCTATGACTTCTCTTGCTCTCTTGATGTTCATGGTGACATTAGGTGAGAACCCAATTATGTTCTCACCAGTGTACCCAGGACCTTCCAAATGTGTACCCACCTCAAGACCAAAACTGACCACCCTTTGCACTGGAGACATTGAACTGATGGTCTTCCAGAACTGCCAGGTTTCTTCAACGTAGTTCCACAAACAGAGTGTAGCAACACGGGCCTACCTACTCCCTTCCCCATGACAAGCACTGCCCTAATCAATAGTGCGTTTACCAATGCAACTTACATATCCTCCCACAAATCAAAACCCTTTGACATCCTTTGACTCTTTGACTTTCAAAAAATAGAATACCGGATTAACATGCAGGTTGCAGCTGGACGCCCTGTGGGATCGTCCCACATATCGGATGCGACGATTCAACTTCACGGCAGCCCCAGGCGCGGCGAAACAGTGCAGATCGATGAGAAACCCTTCACGGTAGAAATGAGAAATCAACCAATTCACCCATTGGCAGATGAGTTGGTCACTTGATGTCATTTGTATTTGGTAGATTCACTCAATTACTTCCATACTTCCACTTTCTCGTCCTTTGTTCCTTTGTATATTCTTTTGGACGCTGACCGTGAGTCTCTTGCACGCATCAGACCCCCAAAAGTATCTATCACTTCACTTATCTGCATATAACTAGACGACGAGTGGCCCGAAAGCATTTTTCATCACGTAGGAAATCAGAGTGCGAGTTACCCGGTAAGTGTGTAGTGAGAAGTGTTAAGTCGAGTGAGTTGAGGTAGTGTGTGGGTTTCTGTGCGTGTGTCTATGTCCGTGTGGAAACGAGTCTGCGTATGTGTGTGTTCGTGGAAGTTGAGGGAGTGTGTGGGTGTTTGTGCGCGATGCGGCCTCCCAAACCCCCCACCGGCGGCCAAGCGGTGACAGCCCAGCTCATCGTCGTGAGCATTTGGGCTGCTGGTAAGGGGACAATGGCAGCCAGCGTGCTGGCTTACCCACTTCAACTATGATGG